TAATTGCCAACAATGGAGGGAGTTCTTGATATCTCCGAAGTTGCCATTGCAAGCCCGCCTCTGACTTAGGGTGATGATTAGGTTAGTCCTTGGGCTTACATTCTTGTTTGTCATACATTTTAATTTTTCTTTATACTCATTTCAGTTTTTGATATTTATATATTCGTTTCATCATTTGATATTTATATATCATTTCATTAATTAGTATGCATATGCATTAATTTTAATATATATATATATATATATATATACATATATATATATATATATATATATATATATATATATATATATATATATATATCATACCATTTGTGGAACGCTACTTGGTAATTTTTGGCAAATATATGTGAGAAAATTAGATTGTGGGTTGTTCTGTGAAAGGGACAAATTTTGTTTCGGTGAAGAATGTGAAAATTTGATTGATAATCATTTATATGAAATGGATAGGATTATAATTTTGTTTCAGTTGCAGATTTATTTTCTCTTTCTTTCTTTTTTCCTTTCTCTCTCTATCTTTGTTTCCCCCCGTTTCTCCCTCTCTCTCCACACACACACATACATACACACACACACACACACACACAAACACACACACACACAAACAGCCCCCTCCCCCCACACACACAGACACACTTACTTCACACATAAAAAGATAATAAAAAAAGTACGCCAGCAATGAACCAATTCGATCTCTCTCACCTTGGCGTCCAGGTCATCGAACGCCGTGCCGCAGATGCCGTTCCATTCCCTTCCCTTTAGCTTCACCTTCAGGAGGCCTCCGCTCTCGGGCTTCCCTCCCTCGATTCTCGTGGTCACTGCCTGTTGGATGCATGTATACGTATGTGTATGAAGAGATGTATACATACATATATGCTTATGCTTCTTTCTTTCTATCTCTCTCTCTCTCTCTCTCTCTCTCTCTATATATATATATATATATATACATGCACACACACACACACACACACACACGCACACACACACACACACACATACACACACACACACACACACACACACACACACATATATATATATATATATATATATATATATATATACATATATATATATATATATATATATATATATATATATATATATATATAAATGAGTGTGTGTAATAACAATAATGATAAGAATACGAATAAGAATAACAACAGGAACCATAATGATAACAATGACAATAACAACAACAATCCATAACAACGAGAACTACCTACCCCTTCGGAGCACAGTATCGCCGCAGTGTTCTCCGAGCAGTCCTCCTCCGCCCAATTCAAGGAAGGACATTCGCCAATCCAGCTTTCCTTTCCAATACATTTCGAGACTGAAACTGACACAGGACTCGGGTCTTCGCCTAAGTAGGAGCCGAAGAAGGGCAGGGTCCATCCGTTAGTGTAGCCGAGGTTCTTGCAAAGGACCTTGGGTGGGTGAGGGAGAGGGGAAGGGGGTGGAGGGTGGAGGGAAGGGGGTGGTGGGGGTGAGGGATGGAGAGAGGGTGGGCGTGGTGAGAGGGGGAGGAGAGGGTGAGAAAGAAATGACTTGAGAGAGAGTTTGAGGACATTGTATGAGTCATGATCGAAATTGAGTTAATGCACTGGCTAGGGAAAGAGAGAAATAGAGAGAAAGAGACGGAAATAATGACAAATAGAATAAGAGAGAGAGAGAGACATACAGATGGAGCAATAGTACGGCACAAAATCAAAAAGACTATAAACAAACAACCCCCACCCAAGAAAAAAAGAATATCACATGAAAATGAAAACGAAAAAAATATCTCACTAAACACCTTGGATTCATTGACACGAAAGAAAGTATCACACAGAGGCAGCCACGCCCCCTGTCGCTTCACCTGCACTACCCCTGCGACCAACCCCGGGGCTGTGAAGGGTCTGTTCCCTGGTCTCAGCCTGACCACGCCTACATCCTCACAAAGCTCTGCCCTCTCGTCACTGTCGGGAAGTGGTGGACATCAGATAGATTATCATTATCGGTTGTAGTATTATTTTTCCTTATTTACTTCTTGTAGGTTCCCTGACCACTCTTTCTCTCAAATTCTTCTTCTTCTTCTCTCTCTCTCTCTCTCTCTCTCTTTCTGTAACACAGCTTTTTCTCTCCACACATATTTTTCTCTCATATTGTTCCTTCTTTTTGTCATTTCCACTCTCTGTCTCACAACAATAACGATAAATACATACATAACAATCTTCATCAGTGCCATCATTATCATCTTTATTCTCATCTAAAATACCGTAGATTCCCTCACCTGTTATCAGGACAGTCCGATGTGCTATCACAAACCTTCTCTCGCTCAAGGCATGTTCTGTCATCTCCACAAGGGAATTCTACAGCGGAACATCTCGATTGGAAGCTACGACACACTACGCCCGCGATCTGTGGTAGGCGTAAGTATGGACAGCGTAAGTACTGTAAATCGATGTGTCCAGCGTAAGTACTTTATGTAAAACATGAGGTGATTTATACCGTAAATAAAAGTGTCTAGCTGAGGTATATATTGTAAATACAAGTTCCTTGCTTAAGCACTATATATAAAATATGGTGAAAGTATATATTCTAAGTAAATGCATTTACCACAAGTACTGTAAATCAAAGTCTCTACCGTAAATATTGTCAGTAAAAGTGTGTCTAGGATAAATAGAGTAAATTAATAAGTCTGTTGTAATCACTGTAAATTTCAATTTAAGATGTGTAAAGGAAAATATCTTGAATTAAGAAGAGGAAACGGATAACAAAAAAGGATGGAAAGAAACATCAGATATCATATAAGAATGAAGGGAAACGAATCAGTCAACCAATAATAAATAAATAAGTGAATAAAAAGAAACATATTAGAATGTATATATATATATATATATATATATATATATATATATATATATATATATATATATATATATATGTATATATACATAAAAAAACATGAATGATCAGCACCTGAGTCGAACCGCAGTCATGCTCCCCGAGACGATTAGACGAACACTCCTTGAAGGTCGTGGCGTTTTCACAAGCAAGGTCGTCCAGCCAAAACTCTACGGGATTCTGACGCCGTTCTGAAGATGTCGGGCGGGAGGGGAAAAGGGTTTGTGAATGGAGGTGTATAGGCTCAAGAAGGTAACGAATATTCTATTATGAGACAACTTGATATTTGATAATTATACATTGGAGATTATGAAAAATATATACGTTCACTTATTTGTTAAGTAAATAATATAGGATTTATGTTTATTAATGGTATTCTAAGGAAAAACAGTATATGATTAATACATTGCTCATAAACCCACACACAACCACAATATATATACATATATATATTGTCAATCCGCTCGCAACCCCAACCTACCCTTAGCACTAGCACCGAACTGGTTGTTCCTAGTATACATCTCAGCACCATCGTGTCCGATTTCGCGACAAACCAAGTCTGCCTCCGGGAAGCCGAAGCCATCGTCACACACGAAGCCCCATACGCCGTTTACTTCCACCTGGAGTGGATGTAATAGTATTGATTTCATGTTATATGTACGAAAATATAGCGATATAGACATACATATATTTGCATGACTGCATATATTTATGTATTTATGTATATATGTATATATATATATATATATATATATATATATATATATATATATATGTATATATATATATATATGTATATATATATATATATATATATATATATATATATATATATATATATATATATATATATGTATGTATGTATACATACATATGTGTGTGTGTGTCTGTGTGATTATATATATATATATACATATATATATATATATATATATATATATATATATATATATATATATATATATACATATATATATACATATATATATATATATATATATATATATATATATATATATATATATATATATATATATACATATATATATACATATATATATATATATATATATATATATATATATATATATATATATATACATATATATATATATATATATATATATATATATATATATATATATATATATACATATATATATATATATATATATATATATATATATATATATATATATATATATATATGTATATATATATATGTATATATATA